TAATGAATCTTTCAGCTCGGGTCCTCAATAACATAGTAATGAATCTTTCAGCTCGAGTTCTCAATAACACATTAATGATTCTTTAAGCTCGGGTCCTCAATAACACAGTAATGACTCTTTCAGCTCGGGTCCTCAATAACACAGTAATGACTCTTTCAGCTCGGGTCCTCAATAACACATTGATGATTCTTTCAGGTGGGGTTCTCAATAACACAGTAATGACTCTTTCAGCTCGAGTCCTCAATAACATAGTAATGACTCTTTCAGCTCGGGTCCTCAATAACACATTGATGATTCTTTCAGGTGGGGTTCTCAATAACACAGTAATGACTCTTTCAGCTGGAGTTCTCAATAACACAGTAATGAGTCTTTCAGCTGGGGTTCTCAATAACACAGTAATGACTCTTTCAGCTCGGGTCCTCAATCACACATTAATGATTCTTTCAGCTCGGGTCCTCAATAACACATTAATGACTCTTTCAGCTCGGGTCCTCAATAACACAGTAATGATTCTTTCAGCTCGGATCCTCAATAACACAGTAATGATTCTTTCAGCTCGGATCCTCAATAACACAGTAGTTTATTCTATTTCATTTTTTAATTTATTCCCACAAAATTGTTAATTTCTTATAAAGGTTAAAAATACTTGTTGTTAAGTATTGTTTGATTTATAATAAATTCGACAAACATTCTGTTTAGTATTGTTTAATTGTTACAATAGGTTAGAGACTCTTGTTGTTTAGTATTGTTAAATGAACAAGCGAATAAATAACAGTATTTGGAAAGGGATTTAAGAAAAGTATGGCACGAAAAGAAATTCTTTTGTGCAATAAAGAAAGAGTTACAAGAAAATCAATTAAGTCAAAGAGAATGAGATCAAAACGTAAAATTATACAAGGTTATCAAATTAAGTAATACCATCAGCTTGACAGCGGCTTGATGAATGTTTAATATCAACAATCGTTTATAGATCAGTGACTAATGTAAACCTTGGCGGTTCTAATTTATTTAAATAAATACATAATAAATGGCAAATAAACAACAAAGCTAATGACCTATTTACTCCAGATAAAGCTAATAACTTATTCACTCCAGATAAAGCTAATGCCTTATTTACTCCAGATAAAGCTAATGACTTATTTACTCCAGATATCTGGAGTAAATAAGTCATTAGCTTTATCTGGAGTAAATAAGTCATTAGCTTTATCTGGAGTAAATAAGTCATTAGCTTTATCTGGACTGAATAAGTCATTAGCTTTATCTGGAGTAAATAAGTCATTAGCTTCCTTAATAAGTTGCCTTCTTATGAAATAGTAATTTTCCGGTTGAACTCCTATTTTGCAGAATAAAATAACATTAACAGTTTATTTTTTTGTCCTACGGACGTGAGCTAATTTTAACACTTATTTTTAATACAATTTATTATTATTATTTGGTTTTAACAACGGTTTCTTTTTTGTCCTACGGACGTGAGCTAATTTTAACACTTATTTTTAATACAATTTATTATTATTATTTGGTTTTAACAACGGTTTCTT